TAGCAGCCCGTGTCAATGGCTCAGTGCGTGAGAATTTGTTGCCCTGCGAGCTTAGAGGGCGGAAAACCCAGGAATCTTCGGGAATCTTGGGGGGAATGGAAAGTGACAGGTGGCGGCGCTCACCTGAGCCACATACATCACCGGGAACCCCCGAATCCAACCCCCCAAGCCATGTTTAGTAGACAGTTTTATTTACGCTGATGGCCATAAATATTTGAATTACAATATAATATTTAAGCCCAAAGCCAAAGGGGCCTCGTTGTCAGAGAGCTAGGGGTGAAAGATTTATGGCTGCCGCAAATCTACGCCAGCCACTTAATGCATTTTAATTTATTAAGCTGTCAATCTGCCGGAGCGGAACAGTCCCACATCCGCGTCCACATCCGCCTAACGCCTATACATCCGCACAGGTGTGCCTCAGCACGTGTGGATGGGATCTGGATTTGGATTTGGCCAGCGAAGAGTTATGCGATTTCTCCTGGACACGAATTGAATCCAAGTTAACTGCATTAACCGAACGAAGGGGGGTGAGCCACCAGTTGGTTTTCTGGGGGGTTAAATATCACACAGAAAGAAATATATCCTAGCCTATCTAATGGGTATTTATAGTGTTTTCTGCATCCTGACGTTCTTGAACTTTAATTTTATCAAAATCAAAATTTTGATAGTTGAAGCTGATAAAGAGACTACAAAATTGTAAAATCAATTAAATAGGTGTCTAAAAGTAGGCAGTAAAAACGTATGTGTATGTAGTATACTTTTAGACATTTTCTAATTGATTTAAAATATTTACTCTGATGTTATAAAATTAAAAATATATTATATATATATGACATGTTAGTTTCTTACCATCTTTTCTTTCCGTGCAGGCCGGGATGAGTTAAGAGCCCGATGTCGTTGCTTGCCATTTGCCATTCACTTGTCGCCTGTCAACCGTCAGTCTTGAGTCCTGAGTCCTGAGTCTCCATGTCGTCGGTCGCTGGAAGTCGTGTGCCAAATGACCAATTTCAATTAGAGATGCAGAGCCGGAACATCAGAGTTTACAACAATTCACAGAGCGCACCACACGCACAGTTTAAGTATCCTTGAGGGAACCTACACAGAAAAACTAGACTGAATAAAAACTAATTAAAATTCTTTCATGCCTTTTATAGGTTTAAATTAAAAATAAAATGTAATGTATACAAATATATTTTTTTAGGAAAAACCTCAAAAATTAACCATTTTTAAGCGAAAGACTGTTTTCAACTTCTTATTTATGGTATACAAAAGGGAAGTTAATTTTCCAGTGCAGCCACACACTCAACAACCTGCTGGCTGTTTAAATATGAGCAACAGATTAAAACTTAATTTAAAGTTGACCCAGCCGGGTTTCGTGTTTCCACTTCAAGTTTAATTAATATGTTAAGCCCGTAAAAGCCGCATCGGTAAACTAACCCCATCAGCCGGCTTTCGTCTCCTGTGTTTGTTTTTTGTTTTTCCCCCGAAAACCCTCCGCCTCCAAAAAGCATAAGCAAACAAAAGGTTGTGGGCGGTACGATGTACATACTACATGGCATATAAAATCCATCCGAAACACAGAAGATGAAGCGTCTTCAGCGATGGCTTACATGTGTAGCTCAGAACTCGGTGTGAATACCAATTGTATGCCGGTACTCTCGACCATTGTACTTATATCCTCATATCCTTATGAACATTTCATCTGCGTGTGCAGTGTTAATCCGCAGAAATCGGTAGAGCTGCGGCTGCCAGATCCAGATATATATAGCTATAGCTGTGGTTTTATGCATTGTTCTAATGCGTGCTTAAAGCGCATTTCCAGTATTTCAAACTCGCCCGCACGCATGAGTGCCTACAGCTGCGGTCGCATAAATATGTGATGATAGTCAAACCCATCAATTCCCTGGGGTACATTCCAGTTCAACAACTCTAATTAGTTGATTAACTAATATGTGAATTAACCAATTAATTTTATTCCCCCGATATCGAGATGTCCAAAATTTGACATTTAATATGGCTAAAATATTTATTTACTGTACTTTAGTATCTTCCTATAAAATAAATGGTTTAATAACAAAATATATCAAGTACTCATCATGCTTCACTTTATTTTAGTATCTCACTATGAATTTAATGGATTAATGTTTTTCTTGTTTATTTATTTATTTTAAAATCCAATAATTTTATAAGAGGTCACTTTAGAATTTTACAGAATACAAAACAGCGTACTTTAAGAATACAACCCTATTTGTGTGACCTCTGCTGTGGCGTTAGCATGTGAATGCAACGCCCGAAAACAGGAACAAAGCACAAAGCGCCACTCGACAAATGCGCTGTAATTTGAGGCGACAAGTATGCAGTGAAAATTTTAAATGCATTTCACGCACTGCGGCTGACGTTCCACCACCACCACCTCTCTTTGTCCACCCAAATGACCGCCACTAATATTCCCCACTAACCCCGGTAAATCCTAGGAAAGCTCCTCCATTCCTGTCACGCCCCAGAGTGTCGTCAAGTGATGGCTGTCGCCGACAGGCAGTGCCCACTGTGGCACACAAAACGAAATGTAGATCAATACCGACTCGAAATGGAAAGCAGATGCAATAGATATTTTCATTTTACGTATCATTTTGTTATGTAAATTAAGGTTTAATCAAGATAGACCATGAAATATGGGTTAGTTAAAAAAATAAATGGAGTAATGGAATTTTTTTCCATAAATATAAAAAATATATTTTTATTTAATATAAAACTTTGAGAAATAACAGAAAATTGAAACACAAAATCATTAAGTCATTAAATTTATTCATATTTCACTTCATTTTTTTTCTCAGTGTAGATGGCGTTGGCCTGATTGGAGTTAGGCCGGAGTGTCCTTTGTTTCACCTTTTTATGGCCTCGCTTATCGGCAAAATGGAGCGGCAATTAGAGCCGAGTGATTTATCTGATTTGAAACAGGGGAAACCCGGAGAAGAACGACACGCCACTTTTTGATTAGTAAAATGAAAGTCGGATAACTTTTCACCAGATTCATGTCAAATGACAAAGACACGCACATTTGGTATTGGATATCTAAAACTTTTAAATAAATAAATAATAATATAACTTTTCTTACATTGGTATAAATTTCTCATTAGTTTCACTTGAAATAATTTAAGTTATTTATTTAACTTTTTAGTGCAAAGAAAACTTATATTTCGGAATCTCAAAAGTCGACGAGCAAGATAAACGACAAACTCTGTGCCAAATATATAGTTATTTAAATTAGAATAATTCAGAATTCAGAAAAGTATGCAAAACTTTATCTCAGAATTTAAGACTTATTTGCATACCAGTCCACCAGCACACCACAAAAAGTCAACATTTTCAAGTTCTTCACACCATGTGCACGAGAGTATAAGAATATTAAAATCGCATTTTGCTTGAGGTGTTCGCTTTATAAAGCCATTAGGAACTATCCGGGGAATGAAGGCGGCAGGGGGCGGGTGTTTGGGTTGGGTTTTCTGAAAAGTCCGCATGTGTCGGCCGGCGTTTTAACACTTTAATCATTGAAATGCAAATTCAGAGCCGAGTTTTAGCAAGACATGCGTCAGGCAGAGTAGCACATGTATGTTAACACGGCCACCGACTAGCACGCCTCCGAGTTCTGGAGAGGACAGCTCAGGATTCTGGCCGGGATTTAGCATATTTGAGGGCCAAGCTACACGGCAAAAATATTAAATATTTGAAACCACTTGAAAAGGTACCTGAAAGCATGCAACAATATGTTTTGAATCTAAATTAAAGTAAAAATACTGCGTACTTTTATACACCTTTAAAAGTGATAGTTATTTTTGTAGAAAATTTAGTGTCTAGATTTTTTTTTAGCAGGAAAAGATATTTAATATTCAATTTTTATCGATATTTAATATTTATGAATATTTTTGAATTAACAATTCGCTTAGAAATCACGAAATATGGGTCTAAAAGTATGCAACGATACATGTTTTATTCGAAAGAAGGACGGGGTCTTTTTACTGCATACTTTTGTGCACCTTTAAAAAGGATAGTAATTTTTGTAGGAAATATAATATCCAGATTTTTTTTTCTCTGCACGGAAGGGAATCACATTTCGAATTCAGCCTACTCCACAGCTGAGTTCCTTTTCGGCTCCGAAAATAATGGAAATGCAGGACCCGGCCGGCAGGAGCGAATAAATTAACCTGGATCGCATTTATATTCGGAAGTAGTGGCACGATGATGCTTAAACCTGAATTTCTCGCGGAATGCTTCCTTTATTGCACGTAAATAAAGTCATAAAGTCATCATTACAACCGCGCCAACAAGGAGCAGCGCGATAAAGGAGCACAAAGGACAAACTTTTGTGGCTGCGATAAAAATTCGCCAATGTGCACAAATTACTCAAAACATATTAAAAACTGCGTCCCCGCCTCAACAATTTGGCCAAAACGTTGCACAAATTAAAAACCCTTCGAAAGAGCGGAGATAAAAGGAAATTCCATTGTGGCAAGTTTTCTCGGTGTGGCAAAAGTGCACTACAACTTTTCCTCAAAACGGAAAAGTGGAGTTTCATTGAGTGTTCCGTTACAAAATGAAGGCAACAAGTTTCTTTTGCCGATACGACATGTGAAAAGTTTGGTAATTTAGTTGTAATCTTTGAATTTTGGCATTAGAAATGAGGAAAAATTGTGGAAAGAATCCTAGTTGTTAAGTTTTTAAATAAATTTTAAATATCCGACATCTACGTTTTTAATTAAATTATTTTTTCATTTTTTGACTGAGTTCCAGTTGGTTATTTGGTTGTTTAAAAAAAAGAAAAATGTTAAAATTGCTTTTAAAGTATATATAAATTATCCGTTAAATAACAGTTTAATTTTTTGATATTAAATTTGATAATAAATAACGATTTCTAGCCCTATTCCCGCTAGACTAGCTATTTTAAAGCGAAAACTCCATATCCATAACCATATGTATAGGTATTCTCAAGATAGCTGCAAATGGTCACATATGTTTATTGCACTAATTTTTTAAACAACTTGGTAAATCATGGATAATAATAATGCGGAGCAGGACACAGAAGCTGCCTTCAGACGTCACCAGGCAATCGTGCCCCAGGTGAAGCAGGAATACCAGGAAGTGATTGAGCAGCTCTTTGCGAATTTGAGGTTGGTAAAGAATTTAACTCGGAAGAATACCTAAACCCTAACTGTTGTTCCAGTCCCTCTGATCTTGACTCTTTTGCCGCCATCATCGAGGAGCAGGAATCCTCGAGCGTGGACACCGAGAAGTTGGTAAATGGCGCTCGAAAGATCATGACGAAGGTCGTCCTCGATGTCAACCAGTGCTTCTTCGCCGGCAACGATGTGGACACCAAGCTGACCACCCTGGAGATGCTCAAGGAGCACTATGCTTCGCACGAGGGAAAGGAATGGTTGGTAGATAGTGTACTGCCTGGTAATTAGGAACCCCTTTTAAAGGTTTTTTATTTTAAACCCCCAGGAACTTTCATAGTTTGTCCCCCGAAGAACTCACTCGACCGCTGCGGATAAACAGTTTGGATTTGAGTATTCGTTTCATGGAGCGGCAGCTTAAGACCCAGGAAAAGGAACTTGAGGTAGTATAATATAGTTGATAAAACATTTAAATACTTATGATCATATGTGGATAACATATATTTAATACCATATAATTTTAAGATCAGCTTTTTTGATGAACAAAAATTCTATGATATATGTTTACTGGAAAAGTTATCTGTATAATTTAAATTTTCTATTCCAGATTGCAATGGCCAAAAGCATTAAAAATCGACAGCGTATACATGATGTGCTAGCTGAGCGAAAGAAAGTTGAACGTTTAATAAATGAGCGGATGGAACAGTATCATGAAATTAAGCCAAAATTAACCGAAATGGAGCAGTCATTAAATGATTTGCATTTGCAACCGAAAATGTAATTTATATTAAGAAATAAAGAAGATTATGTTTGATTACTAAATATATATGATATGATATGAGTGGTTTGTTCGGTAAATATAAAAATAATATATTGTAATTCCTAAGATCTATTAGTACCTAAAAATATATTTGAAATCTACCGCCACATGCGCATCACTTCTTGAAAGGTGTTTTCCAACACGCGTTGTTTTTTCGAACAGCTGACTCGCCGGCAAATGAAAACATTGAATAATCCCAAAGCATGCTGAACTTATCCGTGGTGCTGCGGGTGCAATCCTCCCGGCAGACGGCTTCCTTTGCCACAGCGGCAGCGGTGAAGACGCAAATAAAACCCCCAAAGGCGAAGCCAGCCAAGAACAAGCCAAGGAACCAGAGGGATCAGGCCCTAATCTCCTGCAGGAGAAGCCAGTTCGATTTGACCCACTACGAGCGGGAGGATGCCAAGTTCGGGAGCCTTTCGCTGGCCTCCAAGGGCTGGCTGCACAACAAGTCCAAGGGGGACTACTTCATCCTCAATGCCAGCGTGGGAGCAGAGGAAGTGCAGCAGGAAATGCAGGCCATCGATGAGTTTCTCGAGGGCTCACAGCTGAAACTTCATCCGCTCCTCCTGGAGAACCTGCGGGGTGAACTGGGCATCAAGCTGGTGACTGGAATACAAAAGCAGGGAATGCCCATTGTCCATGGCAAGGAGCACTGCCTGATTGCCGCTGAAACGGGGTGCGGGAAGACCCTCACTTATCTACTGCCCATTCTGGACAAGCTGCTCCAAAGGGAAGCTGCTCCGGATCGAAAACTCAACACTCCCCGGGTCCTGATCCTCACGCCTGGCCGGGAATTGGCCACCCAGATAGCTGGGGTGGCGGAGAAGCTCCTCCAGGGCTCTAATCTCAAGGTGCAATCTCTACTCGGCGGCAACACGAAGCAGCTGATGATGAATCCGGAATTCGAGGAGGTGGACGTACTGGTGGCCACCCTGGGGGCTCTCAGCAAACTGGTGACCACTGGAATCTACCGCATGGAGCAGGTTCGTCACCTGGTTCTCGACGAAGCGGACACTTTGCTGGACGACACATTCACGGATAAACTGACGTACTTCTTGAGGAGATTTCCCGTGGGTTTACACTTAGGTTTTCCTTAGAAAATTACTTAGTATTCTTCTCTTACAGTTCCACTTGCTGCAGAAGGAGGATGCTGGCACCCAGCTGATCCTGGCCTCGGCCACCATGCCCACGAACACCAGGGAGATCCTGCACAAAGTCATCGATGTAGACACCATCCGCGAGGTGGTCAGTCCCCATCTGCATCGTTTAATGCCCCATGTGACGCAAAAGTTCCTAAGGATGTCAAAGGCCGATCGTCCCGCCACAATCCTCTCGCTTGTCAAGCAGGATCTCGTCAAGCGTCGCCCCCTGATTGTGTTTAGCAACAAGTCCACCACCAGCGACTATGTCTCCATTTTCCTGAACAACAGCGGAGTGAACTGCCTGAATCTGAACGGCGATATGCTGATGAAGATCCGCTTGGGTCGCTTTGAGCAGTTCCAGAACGGCAACTGCGACGTTCTCTCCACCACCGACGTGGGAAGTCGTGGACTGGACACCACGCGAGCCCGTCACGTGGTCAACTTTGACTTTCCCCTGCATGTTTCGGACTACATCCATCGGTGTGGGAGGATCGGACGGGTGGGCAACTTGGAAAAGGCGCTGGTCACGAACTTTATATCCTCTCGCCGGGAAATCGACGTTGTCCAGCGGATTGAGCATGCCGCTCGAACGGGCGGACTGCTGCCGGATGTGAATGCCAACATACGGAACATCATCAACAAGCGAATTGTGGCCGAGATGAAGGCGGCGGGAGTGCCGGTTCCGGTTTTGGGATCAGGGAATGGATATCCAAATCAGGAGGAGGCCTTCTAGTCTTTAAATGATTCTTGTAAATGATCTTAATATTCTTTTCTTGATAAGTGGATAGCAGATGGAAGTCTAAAGTAAAAGAGTAGTTTTATTGAGATCCCCAGTAAAAATAATACTTCTCCAAGCGCCCATTCAGATTCTCAGGTAGTGATAGCCACTGATGGGCGGAAACCTTTTCACATTGGTCAGCGGCTTGAAGAGCTTTCGCCGGGCGATGAGGATGTCGGTGCTGGCGCCACCAGCTCCCGCAGCTCCATTCGCCGTGGAGGAGGGCGAGTCCACGGAGTGGGGAACACTCGAAACCTTCGGTTTGAGCAGCATTGGCCGGCAGCCGGCGAACTTGAAGCGAATGTTGCCTGCGCAGTTGAGCTGCAGATTCGGCGACTGGAGTTCGGGGAAAGCCTCGCGAAGAGTTGGCTTCGGTTTGAGTGCCTTGCTGGGATCATCGCCGTGACACATGGCTGCCGCGAGGGTGCTCCATTCTAGACGTCTCACTCCTGGCACGGATTCTATCCTATATGCAGGAGGTTTGGCACGCACATACCGTCGGGTTACCATTTTTTCTAACGCTCCTGTAAGTATTTCAAGTTACTAAACAGATTTTTCTAGATTAAATGGGAGTTTCTTACTGGCATAGTGAACCAGGAAGGGCTGCAGAGCGCCACCGCATCCATGCTCCAACCATTCGTACAGATACAAGTCATCGCGGCCGCCCAGGAAGATGGCAGCCGGCGCCAGATCCTGCCAAAGGCTGTCCGGGATTTCCTCGACGCGTAGTTTGTAGATATACGGAATAAACTCCCGAAAGGCATACTCCCCCAATGAGATTAATCCACGCACTGCTCTGCTGATGTATTTAAAGTCTAGAGAAAGGAATGTAAATATTAAAATCTATCCAAAATCTATTAAGAAGCATTTACCCCTCTCACTGCAAACGTCGCGACCCTCGAAGAATCTCGCCAGGCGTCTTTTGATCAGGAAAAGGCACTCTGCCTGCAGATAGCCACTCTGGGAAGCCAGCTGACCAATAGTTTCGCACAGCTCGTCCACGAGGGCATTTCCCACTGGAGTGGCAAAGTAGTTGGACAGATGCTCGGTCTCTGGCTGCGGATTCCGCTCCTCCTCCTCCTCCGTTTGCAGCTTGTAGATGGTGTGCTCCACGGTGTTCTCACTCGCAAACATCTGCGCATCCTGCTCCTGCTTCTCCACCTCCATGACCTCCGGGTTATCTGGCTCCATCTTGAGTTGCTCCTCGAACTCCATTTTAATGCTGGCAGTTTGTCCCGGATCTTGCTGCTCTGGCGGCGCCTTGATGGTCTCGTAGGGCGCCATCAGCTGGCTGACGAGCACCTCGGCCAGGTTGAAGTACTCCGGTCGGCAGGCGTTGTGATTGGCAGTGGCGTTGAAGTTGCAGGCGCGTAGCAGCCGCCAGCAGCGCTGGCTCAACTGATCCTGCTGCTTGAAGGCCAGCAGCTGCACCATTTTGCTCACAATCACCCTATAGATAGAGCCCATCAAAGGCGTCTGAAAGGCGTGGCAAATGGCGGCCGTCTGGGATTTGCTGTCCGCAAAGAGGGCGGCGGTGACCAGGCTCTGGACGCACTGCCTCAGCTGCTCCGTGTGCCTATCCTCCACGGGACAGAAGCTTTGAAAGTCCGCATCATCGGGCGAGCTGAGATTTATTTCCTTCTGAAACTCGGCGCTCAGTTCGAAGATCTTGTCCGAGTGAAAGTAGAAGCTGCCATCGTAGTCGATGCGATCCCAGTCGCTGTCCATGGCGCCCAGCATGGGCGGCACATCGGCGTCCTTGAGCACCTCGTTGACCAGATCGTAGGTGACCACGCCGCCCGAGTGGCGGGAGTAGATCTTGACGTTCTGGAAGGGAAAGTACAGGGTTTAGAGGGGTAAAAGTGGGTTAATTATGACTACTATACATTAATCAACTCCCACACTTTGTAGGAGGCATCTTCCGCCAGCTGGGCGCACACATCCTGCGAGAGTTCCACGTCCGTCTGGTCGTGCTGCTCCCAGAAGATCTTGATGCTGCGCGGATCGAAGCCGGCATAGCTTTTCTGGTGGCCCTATGGATAAAGGATTTATGAGATATATGGAGAATCGACTTTAAGCTATCCCCTTACCATTCGACTGGAGTTCCCGGAGGCTTCTGCTCCCGCTATTCCACCTGCTAACCCATGACCTCCGCCTCCTGCCACCGCAAATGAGGCATCGAAGAGATTGTAGTTGCCCAAACTAGAAGTCGGCGTCGTGGGCGTGGTCACCATGTTCAGGTGGGTGGGCGTGGCCGGCAGACTGCCCAGTGCCACGCCCCCGCTTAAGGAGGAGGCGGTTGATGCGGAATTCTTGCCCGTCAACTCCAATTTAGCCGTCTTGGAACGCGACTTGGTGGACTTCTTGCTGACCTTGCTGTGCGTTGACTTGTTCAGCTCGTCGGGATTGCCGGCGCCAGAGGTTTTCATCGTTTTGCTGGGATATTATTCATAAATATGTAAATGAAAATGTAAATAAACAATGGAGAGGCAGGAAAAAAACAACAAGTTTGGCAATAGAGCTATCGATAACACCGATTATCGGCTAGACCTGTTTAGCTCTAGCTACTTTCTAGCCAAAAACCGATAACCAGCACTACTGATAAGAACAACAACACAGTTCAAACTATTTATTTATCCCGACTTTATTTAATGTTATTAACTAATTAAAGATGGCTGAAGCCGCCAATGTGCGCCAGAACCTGCAGAATGTGCCCTCGATCTTCGAGATCTCGGCGGCGGAGACGCTGGACAACCTGATCTACCCGGCGCTGAGCAAGATCTTCGACTACTTCGGTCTGCGACTGGACTTTAAACTGTGGGGCAGTCTGAGGATCCGGGAGGAGCTGTCGCCGCTGCTCACCTGGCTGCTGCAGTACCTGTACCTGCGGAAGAGGGCCTCCTCCTTCGGCGAGAGCTTCTACGGACTGCAGAGGACGGTCACCGAAACGGGGGATCTGCTAAATAGGAGACAGCAATTCGCCTCGGCCACTCTGCTGACCTTCGTTCCCTACGTGGAAAGGAAGCTGCGGAGCAGGATCACCCGGCACGAGGACACCAATCCCTGGGAGCAGCGTCTCCTCAGCGCCTTTCATGCTTTTCATGCCGCCAAGGCGGTGCACACATTCCTCTACCTGGTCAAGTACGCCTCCAATCACTCGCCCATCTTCCGGGCTTTGGGCCTGACCCTTCGCTACCCCAGCGAGCCTCCGCAGGAGGACCAGTGGACCTACCTGGTGCTCAAAATGCTCGAGGTGCTGGCCTTCTTCCTGCAGTTCGTCCAGTGGTGGTACTCCAACGACCAGCGACGCAAAGTGGGCGGCACCCTGATCAATCCGGAGGCGATGTTACCCAAGGAGCTGCCCCAGGAAGTCCAGAAGACGCTGCCCAAGCGGGGAGAATGCCCCGTCTGCCTGCTGCCCATCCAGACGCCCACCGCCTGCTCCGTTTCCGGCTACGTCTTCTGCTGGAAGTGCATCGTTACCCACATGAAGGAGCACGGCAGCTGCCCAGTCACCCACTATCCCATCAGTCTGGACGACCTGGTGCGCATCTACGAAACGTAGCCATTACCTTTGTTGTTTTTTATTTTGTTTAATACATTATGTAAGGATTAAAGAGCCTAGAAGTTTACATTTCGCTGAGAAAGAAGCCCAATCGCTGATCGTAGCATAGGTAAACGTGGTAGAAGTCAAAGTAGGCCAGGCACAGATAAATGCAGAAGCTCTCGCAGGAGATGAACTCACCCAGGCCAAAAATGGAGTAGGCTGTAGGGGAGATTCCGGGATTAAAATCTATAAAATCTACTAAAAGGGTTCGGAAAATAGCACACACTTTAAAAAATTCTTTGTATTTAACATGTTAAATGTCAAAGTGCTAAGGTCAAAAAAGATTATTGACTTGTGGGTAAAAAATTGTATCCTACATATGTTAAAAGCATAAAAAACACACACATGTCATTGGTGTTATTTACACGATGTGTTTTTTACGGAGCGTGTTTTTAACACAATGAGTTTTTGACATTAAAGTGTCAGAATTGAACTGAAAAATGCACGGTTTTCTAGAGTATAAGAATTCATAAATGCTTTGAAATGGTTATAACTAACATAAAAGAGATCATGGCCCTTATTGGTTTTTCATTTTCCCTTCGACTCGTAATGTCAGTGAAATGTAATTTTCATTTGTCTTAAAAGCACAGTGTGTAAAAAACACGTCGTGTTAAAAACACATTGTGACACACATGTCAATAATCTTTTCACACTGTAAAATACAATTTTTCATGTTTTTAACATGTTAGACAATTTCCGAACCCTGACTAAACTACATGATCCACTCACCCAAGGGAAGGCAAAATGTCTGATGGAGGTAGTAAAAGAACCACATAATCACCACTGATGCGTAGTAGGTGACCACCAATCGGCTTTTCAGCCGGAAGGAGAGCTCCTCCCGCAGCTGCCTGCTTCTATCCCTCATATAATACCTGGCGCACACAAAGGAGCCCGCCATGTAGACGGCACAGGATACGAACAGCGACAAAGCGATCGTTATGTGCAGCCAGGAGTCGCCGTTCGCCTGGGCAAAGGTGCCCCACAGCAGCATGCTGGTGCTATTTACAGCTAAGAAGATGGCCATCAGGCAGCCGAAACTCCGGACCTTCTTGGGCAGAGTCCTCCGGTTGAAGCGGAACTGCAGCCAAGCGCTCGCGATGAGAAAGGGAAACTCCAGCCAGCAGGCCAAGGCCCAAATCGTGTGCTGCGACTTGGCAGCCGCCGAGGTGGTGGGGAAAAAGTTGAAGGCATGACAGGAGGTGTACGTGGTGGACTGAAAGTCCGTGACGATGGCCATCACCAGGTTGTAGGCCATGCAAACGGGCACCTGCAAAAGTCCCAGGGCCAAAAAGGGTCCCACTGCGATGCGAAATTGCCGCCGCGTCTGCAAATCCTTCAAGGAGCTGGGCAACAGCTTGGTTTTATCCTCCACAAACTGCTTCATTTGGATTTTCTCCTTCTTTTCACACAACAAAATGACACATAAAACTAACACTCGACAGTCAAACTTTCATAACTCCAAAAAATTCGGTAATAATAGCTTTTAGCTTCTACATTTTAGGATACTTTATATTCAAAAGTCAAGCTTTTATGATAAATGATATGAAAACACTAACTAAATTATAAGATTTTTCGAGGAAAAAATTTAATTGCTCGTCAAAAACAAATGCAAAACATGATACTTATTTTATGTGATAACAAAAAACATTTATTTCCCTCACAAATCACGTTTCGCTACAAAAGCTATGAAAGTTAGACTGCACACAAACGAAATTGAAGCGACAAAATATTTTAATAAATTACAAAATTCGCAGAGTTATGCATATTATCAGCATAATTGTTTTTTTTTTGTAATCATCACATGGATGATTGAGCTGTTGGTCGCAACAACACTGCCGCATTGACCAGATACTGCTGGTAATTATCAGCATAATAAAGAAATCATTTCAATTACAAAATTTCATAAACGCCATTTATCGGAATCAGAATAAATACAATTTTTTGCTTAAAAATAACAGAACAATAAAGACAATTGCAAATTTTAGAGTGTATAAATAGAACCTTAATAAAGACTTGTTTTTAATTAAGAGCATATGTGTATAAATCATGGAACTCGGTTCGAATTTAACTAAATCCTTCAGACACTTTTAAATCCTACATAAAATCGTGTTAAAGCCCTAACTAAAAAGCGTGTGTATGCATCAGATCCTGTCATACTGAATCGTTTCCTGTCTGAATCCCTCGATAAAATTAAGTAAACTTTGAGCTTAAGCTAAATACCGCGTATGTACAGAATACTCGGGGGCGACTGGCTGGATTATATTGATATGGCGGCGCTGGCTGGGATTGACCTTGGAATTGAATTTATCTAGATTTGGGATAGGTAAAGGCCGTGCTTGGCATCGCACACCACGTTGAGGGCGTAAAAGTCCCAGTAGGAGGTCATGTGGAAGCCCATGTTGGTCAGCACCACGATGTACTCGAACAAGGCGAAGAAGGTGTACACTGGGGATATAAAATTTGAATATTAGGTAGGTTTATAAAGAGTAAATAACGAGTGGAATCGAAGTTAGGGTTTTTTTAACATCCAGCAATTAACAAGAAGTATTAATAAAAAACGAAGAAAGTAAAGATCTGAGTTGTAGAGTCTAATCTAAAGCTATTAAACCGAACATATAACTATGCTCAGTACAAAATCCAATTAATAACGTACAAAATTCGAGATAAAGGTCGATAAGATTGTCTGAAGTTCAAATTGAGATTAATAAAAGTAAGAAACTATTTCATAGTTTTCTGAAAATATATTTTATGAAACTTTTAACGATTGTCCTATGTATAGCCGAATATTGATTAAATCCTGATTTTTAAAGGCGACTTAAAATTCAGATATTTTAAGAAAAAATCCGAATTTAGCTCTATATATAACTATCTTAATATAATACCAATACAAATACAAATTTTTTAAGGATCATCTAAACTTTTCCTATATAGAAGCAAAACTTGATACAATCCTTAATACAAAATTCGAGATAAAGGTCGATGAGATTGTCTGAAGTTCAAATAGGGATTATTGAAAGTAAGAAACCACTTAATATTTTCTGAAAATATATTATAAGGAACTTTTAAAGATCTTAACTTATTAAATATTCATAAAATCCTTAATTCATTAGGCGAATCCCATCAGTATTCCACTCTTATCGTATCCTAGAAGCCATATACACTCACCTCCCGCCTCGCAGTGCGAGTTGTGCCGCACGAAACAGTATCCCGCCAGTCCGAAGGCCACCACATTCACCAGGAAGAGGTTCCGCTTGTACCGCAGCGACTTCTCCTCGTGCGGCAGGAGCACGGTCTTCCGGATATTCCTGTTCAGCAGGTAGGACATCAGCATATAGCACTCGGAGCAGGCGATGAACACCACAAAGGCGTTCCTGTGGGTCTCATAATTATCCGCAGAAGTCCAGAAGGACAGGCAGAAGAGGGCCAGATCCTCGACGACGTTCAGGAAGCAGGCCAGGATGCCCAGCAGCCTCCTGCTGCGGCGGATGTGCTCCCTGTAGTGCTCCAGATAGATCTTGGCCACCGCCAGGCGGAGTGGCAAATGCAGGAAGATGGCCAGGCGCCACACGGTCTTCTGCGGCTCATAGTTCCCGATGGCCGCCGAGACGGAGGGCAGGTAGTTGGTCACATCGCAGTGGGTGTAGGTGCTCCGCACAAAGTCAAAACTCAGCGACCAGATGACGCAGAAGAAGAAGCCTCCCAGGGGCAAACTGAGCGCCAGCAGGGCCAATCTCGCGAAGGGAAGCCGGAAAAAGACGCTCTTGGGATCGCTGAATCGCTCGTAAGTGGGCAGCATTTGAGCTCCGGTGTGGGTGGACTATTGTGGGTGGTAGGTGGGTGCTTCCCTTAGCTGAGCTCGCTCCACATTTTCCAGTTCCTCGCTCCTAGTAGCACTAATCTTAGTTTTTTCACCGCGAACTTGCCTACGTTGTAAACATTGCGAAAAGAGGTTGTAAACAAGTGATCGATACCAGCTGACTATCGACCGCTGGCGGGGGTGGTTGATTATCGAATTTGCCTGTGCAATTACTTCTTAAAATTAAATTACGGGGAAATTATGGCTGTTATATAAGTAAAACTTAGGCAATTGGCTAGTCGAAAAGCAGATAAACAGTTTTATCATCAACACTAACTAGGCGTATACTTAATTTCAATGCCACAATGTAACCGCCAACAGTGCTGGCCAATATCGATTAATAAAAGTAGCTAAATTGGGTTTAAAGTGAATTATAATTTCTAAAAATATTTTATTACTTACATTTTATTGTTGCTATATTAAAAACAAAAAAACTTTTACTGTAATATATATTTTACAATATCAAAGTTTCATATATTTTTAAAATAAATATTTTATAAAATAAAGGCTGAAAAAATCTGTCAAAAAATTAAATTTGTATAAACTATAAAATTATTTTTGTATCATTATTAATTAAGTTTTTTATTTTTAGAGCTAGCTAAATTTGGCTATAAAACAGATAGATAGCCATCCCTACCCCTGCCACCCGGCAACCTATCGATATCGATAACGCCGGCTGCGCACTAGCACAACAAAACAGCACGCGCAAAAAAGAAGAGAAACTGCATTGTTTACCAGAACTCTAGAGTAAATCCAGGCACCCCCGAAACCCGAGATGGACATCCTTCTGGCCAACGTGAGCGGGCTGCAGTTCAAGGCGGAGCGGGACCTGATCGAGCAGGTGGGCGCCATCCCGCTGCCCTTCTACGGCATGGACAAGTCCATTGCGGCGGTCTGCAACTTCATCACCCGCAGCGGCCAGGAGTGCGACAAGGGCAGCGCCTGCCCCTTCCGGCACATCCGCGGCGACCGGACCATCGTCTGCAAGCACTGGCTGCGCGGCCTCTGCAAGAAGGGCGACCAGTGCGAGTTCCTGCACGAGTACGACATGACCAAGATGCCCGAGTGCTACTTCTACTCGCGCTTCAACGCCTGCCACAACAAGGAGTGCCCCTTCCTGCACATCGATCCGCAGAGCAAGGTCAAGGACTGCCCGTGGTACAAGCGGGGCTTCTGCCGCCACGGCCCCCACTGCCGGCATCAGCATCTCCGGCGGGTCCTCTGCATGGACTACCTGGCGGGCTTCTGTCCCGAGGGTCCCTCCTGCAAGCACATGCATCCCCACTTCGAGCTTCCGCCCCTCGCCGAACTGGGCAAGGATCAGCTGCACAAGAAACTGCCCACGTGCCACTATTGCGGCGAACTGGGCCACAAGGCCAACTCGTGCAAGCAGTATGTGGGCAGTCTGGAGCACCGCAACAACATCAACGCCATGGATCATTCGGATAGGCATTCTGGAGGACACTCCGGCTACTCGGGGCACTCGGACAACAATAATGACAACAACGACAACAACCAACCGCCCAGTCACCATGGTCACCGGGATTCGCATGGCCCCGGCTTCGTCAAGGTGCCCACGCCGCTGGAGGAGATCACCTGCTACAAGTGCGGGCACAAGGGACACTACGCCAACAAGTGTCCCAAGGGCCACCTCGCCTTCTTGTCCAACCAGCATAGTCATAAGTAGGGACGCTCTGCTCTGTATGATTAGATTGTAAGAGTGCAGAAATAAAGGTCGAAATGGGGGACTATCTACTATGGCCCCCTGAATGGCCCACGAAGATCGCAAGATCCCAACTGCCGCAGGTGAACGTTTTCGATTATTTTCAGTTTAAGCAAGTCGGCTCGCATTTTCCATAAATGTCTCATCAACTGCCAGTAGATCGTATTCTGTTATCAGCGAAATAAACATTCTCTATAAGTATCTAAAAATTATACTATTTTTGGAAAAGATTTGGAATGGAATTGGCTTGCAAAGAAAATATTAAAATGCGAGTTTTTAGGCTTTCGGGTCAAGATAGAAATATGTTTAGATTAATTTTAGGAGACAAAGTGTTCATATTCAAAGAAAACTTATACCTTTAAATTATTTAGAATTCTTAATTTTATACTTAAAATTCATTTATGTTTTTTCAATGTTTTATGTATATCAAAACGTTGTTTTTTGCTTTAAAAATATGAAAATATATTAAAATTTACATCGAAATGTATTATCTTAACTATACAAAACATGATAATGAATATACAACATATTGGGTCATGTTTCCATAAAAACTATCTTATCTATCCTATAACATTAATAGCAATATAACAATATATTGACTTTAATATAAATGTACATAAAAATATACCATATTAACTATACAAAAAATAAGAATGAAAATTCGACATATTGGATAATGTCTCCATAAAAACTATCTTATCTATCCTATTACAAAGTGGACATCAGGAAAATTATAAGTTTTTTAAGTAAATACCTATAACTATTTATATTTGAAGAACTATTTATAAGAAGATGTATATTTAATCCGTTTTCTCCCATATATTTGGATTATAACCCAACCAACTTTCGAATTTCATTTTCGGCGGGTAACTGTCTATCCGAGTTCTCCACCAGTCTCGAGTCGTCTCTTGTTTTCGGAACGGAACGGTAATCCATCCCAAGAGATCCGGATACGGGCACACTGGTCGGACTCAGAGATTCAGAGATTCCAGGTCGTCAACAATTGCGCACTAAATTTTCCGTAAAAAACAAACAAAGTCGACCGTTCGGACTTATCTACTGAGGATATATAGACGACAGCACAGCCATGACAATTCTGGGCAAACTGCGGGGGGAGATTACGGACCAGGAGAAGGTTCCCCTCCCGATGAACCTGAACGACGAGGCGCTGATGCACCATGGCTCCCTAATCGCAGTGAGTTTTTTTTTCGCATTTTGAAGTTGGCATCCTTATTTTGCGCAATCGTTTTGGTGTCCTTGCGGGGTGTCCATGATGTCCACCCCTATATATTCGTCCTTCGGGTTTCCCGAGAGCCACAAGTTTCGTGATGGCAGGTGACTCCGATTCGGAATACGAAATTCGGAATCCGAATTACAGCCTCTGCAGGCCATCGATTTTTCCGCGCTGGAATTTCCGCACTCCCTGGTGTCCTTGTGACGCCCCCCCGCCCCGCAAATCCCCGCCTGCGAGTGACGTGTGCCCATTCACTTTCCTGGGCCTTCTCGAGGTCAACGGGGGGTTGGGGAGGTCCTGTTGCTGGCGGAGATTGGCCCTGACAGCTGGGGAAACCCAATTCCAGCTCCTTTGACCTCGATGGGAGTGTGGGTATGCGGGGTATCCAAAGAAAGTCGTGCCTTATCAGCTGGCCAGTCATAAACAGCCCAGCCATTTCAAGTTCTTAGCATTCTTTACTATATATGTAGTATATCTTTATCGGGTTTCTGCGATTATGCACAGTCAGCCGTGCATTCAATGGAGTTTTTTTATCTGCATTGCAATTTTTAGCTTTTCTTCTAGTAAACAGATTGTAGGAAATTATCTATTTATTAATAAAAAATATTTTTTTTTAATAATTTAACTTTTTAGATTTTTTTAATGAACCCTATTTGTTTCTCTATATTTTTAAATGAACATGAAAATGCCAACTATATTGATCTATTTACCTTGTTTTTGGTCATCTAGCAAGGTCCACTCTAATTTGCATGCAAATGCCTTCAATTGATTAAATGGTTGCAAGGGGAACTTTTTTTGACCTGACAAAGTAATCTCTTGCTAAAGGCGTAGTTTCCAATGAATATGGATTAGACAAAGGGATGCAGTTACGACTGCATTAGTCATATACACTATTTTACCTTTATGCCAATTTTATTTTACCTTTGCCAGCAGAAAAAATTAAAGTGCTAAAACAGCTTAAAATTGTTTAATGTTTAGCAAATTAAATTTTTGCTTATACTATCAACATTTGAGTCAGCTGCTTTATTATATTTGTACTATTTCTGCGACTTATCGCCTTTTTTATGACTCCCAACTGGAACAATAAGTCTTTGTACATACATATGTTGATAAGGAAAACCAATATCACAAATAGCGCAAAAAAAACATTTAAGATAATTATAGTTAATGGAATTGTTCTACATTTTCATTTTTTGAAGTATATGATACGATATAGGAACACTTTTTTAAGATACAAAAATACATTTCGAATAAAAAATTGGAATTTTTTTTTTAAAAACTCACATTTAAATATGTGTTAATCTACTTTTACTTTCGAAAATTGCATTTGTACATTTTCCGAAATTATATTAGTACCTATTTGATGATACAATTTAGAAAGCATTTTTAAAGATTCAGAAATACATTTTTAATATAATTTGAAATTTTTATTATAAAAACTCACATTTAAATATTATTGGGTTAATCTTCTTCTACTTCCAAAAATTCCTTTTGAAAATTTTCGGAAATTATATTAGTATCTATTTCATTATTTCAAAATGTCGACAGTTTTCTATTTCTCGATATTTAAATTAGGTTTTCCTTCAAAGCATCGATATTATCGAATCAAGATTGTCAAAGTATCGTAAATATCGATCATTTTCAGGATCTAATTTAAAATAAAATAAATTTTCCTTTTTTTTCAAATTGTTTGCTTTTTAAAAAATATTATTACCCATCCATAAATACATCTTATTAATCAATTTTCAATCCCACAGCCCAAGGTCGTTTACAGCGACAATGAGGCGGACACCGAATCGATGGTCTTCAACCGGCCGCAGCACCATTGCCTCAAGTCCTTTCTGCTGTTCCTGATCGCCGTGGTGGTGATGCTCCTGGGAGTCCTGGGAGGATGGACCCTCTACCGCGTGTACGCCCCCCCGCATGGCAGCATGCGTTACCACGCCCTGTGCGAGATTCCCTATCCGGAGGACTCGATGGAGATGGCACGCGTGTATCCGCGCACCGAGGGACCCTTCGCCCTCAACTGGCGCTCCCTGCTGCCCGACTTCGGGCCCAAGATGCCCGATCTCGAGGACAACTTCTTCCGCGAGGACATCGAGCTGGATGGCGACAGCGACGACGAGGGCTACGCCCGCGTGGATGTGCCCGACTTCAAGGACGGACGACGGGGTCGCTTCATGCACGACTTCAAGGAGAACCAGTCGGCCATCATCGACACCACCACCGGCAGGTGCTTCATCATGCCCCTGGACAGGGACACCACCCTGCCGCCCACCAGCTTCGTGGATCTGATGAAAAAAATGGGCACTGGCTACTACAACATCGATACGGAGCGCGTGCGGCGCCAGATGCGCGTGGTCACGCCCAGGATAACCGATCTTTCGCTCATCTCGGAGCGGATTGCCAACGAGTGCTACGACATGAAGGTCTACATGATGGAGAAGTACATCTCGGGAGGTGAGAATTTACTTTATTTAGTAGTAGAGCCCTGCATGAGTGGATTCAATGAATTGTTTTGAATTTTTTGTGTTATATACTAATGAATTAATTAGAATTTTGAGTTTAATAGAATTGAATGAATTTGAATTTTGAGTTTAATAGAATTGAATGAATGAATGGCATGAATTCCGAAGTAATTCAATTTTTAAATTTTTTGGTTTTATATGAATGAATTAATTAGAACTTTGAGTTTAATAGAATTGAATGAATTCGAATTTTGAGTTTAATTGAATGAATTTCTTTTGAAGAAGAAAGGGCCATAATTTTGTGATTAAATCTGCCTAAATTACAACATTGATTTGTTAAAAATTTAACACTTTTTGTTCTCGAAAGAAAGCACAAAAACTGGCAAATTTAAAAATTCATAAAAATTATACATTCATTCATTCAATTTGAAATTAATTAGAAAAACATAAAATTTATTTCACATAGAATTGAATAGAATGATAAAACAAAAATTGAATGATTCACTCAGGGCTCTATTTAGTAGTAAACCCCTTTACTAACTCCATTTCCCTTGCAGTTTCGAAGAGATCCGCTGATCCTCTCCCAGAATCCGGCAAGTACGCCGAATTCATGGGCAAGGGCGTCATCGAGTACGACCTGTCGAATATCGCCGAGGTGGAGGCCTACGAGGCCAACGAGGCCAAGCAGGAGGCCTGAGCGGAATGAAATGGATCTTTTAAGCTAAAAAACAAAAACACCCCATATAAGAATACACAACCTAAACAAATTATTAATTAGAATCGATTTATACATATAGAGGATGGAGAGGAGGAGATCTATTTCTGGTTCACCACTGGTTAGCAGGACATGTATCATCATTGGCCAAGCGAAATATAGCGAATCATAGACCATAGAAGCGTAACGAACTTGTACCTAGAACGCAATCAAAAGCGATCGATGAAATTGTGACAAATACGAGCAATGTATTAAGGAAAACGGATGAGATTGGATTAAAGGATTAGAGAGATCGGTACAGAGACACACACTGCGGCATTCCAAGTACATATTTTATATATACGCTCTTAAACTATTCTAACAAATTAACGTGTATAGACGGGATTCGGATCGAAGCTATTTACAGGCAAAACCAAAACCAAAAACAAACCAGGAAACTATCAGCATGCGTCGCCAGACAGAGAAACCAACAAATTAATCTAAATGTTCTTTAAAAACTACTTGAATGTATTAAACGCGAATTTGTGATCTTTAAGGGTTTTTATTTTTAATTGGTTTTCGGGGGACTAGAATATGTACTCTAAAATTAAATTAAATCTAAAACTAAAAGTACGACTTGCACAGGGCAATCGTGTGATCCACGCCGTAGGCCACCTTGGTCACCTTGCCATTGATGGCCGCCTTGAAGGGGAAGAACTGATCCTTCTTGTGGCCCAATCCCAAGTGGCCAAAGCGATTCTTGCCCCACATGAAGAGATCTCCGTCCGAGTTGACGGCGCCCATGTGAAAGACGCCGCATCCAATGGAAACCACTGAGGTGGCGTTGCTGAAGTCATTTCTTCCGAAGAGCGGGGGTAGAAGATGCTGTGGCCGGGAAGTCTGCTCCACGAAGGGTCCAAAGCCCAGGATGCCATAGCCCCAGGTGTAGACCAAACCCTGATCGTTGAGAGCCATGCAAAAGGAGCCGCCGGCAGCCACATCTTTTATCTTTCCTATTCCTTTAGTTAACTTTAAAGCTCTGGGAGTGTTTATCTGGGTCTCGGCGTGCTCGGAGTCGTCCAGCTGTCCGTATTCCGAGTTGCCCCACCCGAAGGCTTCACCTGCCTCGTTGAGGGCCAAAACGCAGTCCGAGGAGCAGCTGAGCCGCACAATCTTCTCCTTTTCGATGTCACCGCCGATGAGGGTTATTTGCCCAGCTGTGTGGTAGTTTCCCTGACCCGTCTGCCCATCGGCGCCCCAGCCGCAGGTGTAAATGCGTCCGTTTTTGGTCAAGAACATGCTGTGATCCTGGCCGCACTCCACCTGAACCACTTCGTCGTCCCTCCCGCAGATGTCCTCCTGTGGAATGCGGTGAATCAAGGCACTCTTGCTGTAGCGCTCCTCCTCGATGATGGAGCGACCGCACTGGCCGTAGGAATTGTTGCCCAGCGTGAAGATGGTGCCGTTTTGGGTGAGGACTACTAGGTGAGCCCTTCCCGCCGAGAGGCTCTTCACCTGCATGTCCTCATCCGATTCCCCCTGGATTCTGGGCAGTTTGATGGCCGTGGGATAGATGATTACGTCCAGGTTGGCGGGGTCCTTGGGGTTTCCCTTCACCTGGAATCCCAGCTGGGAATCGGTGTTCAAACCAGAGCCAAAAAGGGTTTCCCCATCATCTCTTTTAACCGCATAGGCAGTGAATCCGTAACCAGCGGTTACATCGGTTATTTCGTTATTATTGGAGAACTGCAGCCTAGTGGGATGGTGGACCATCTGCGTGTAGCGTTCCTGGGCCTTTTTCACGTTCGTTTGGAGGCCCAAAGCGCCCGTTTCCTGGAATCCCCAGACGTAAACGCGGTGCTCATGGTTATCGGTGGTCTTAGGCGAGTACTCCTTGATCTTTGACTTGTCCTGCGCCAGGACGCTCCTCTTCGCCTTGGCGGTGTAGGATCTGGTGATGCCAGGGAGTAATCCCCGGGTTTTTAGCATAATTAAGGGTAAAACAGGTAAAAAACCATGTAATCAAAATCACAACAAATAACGTTTATGAAATCCCTATCGATAACAAACCAGGGCTGTAAAGTCACCACTTTATTCCAACACACCTGACAACCCTGCTGCCTGACCAATCGACTTAATGCGAAAAAGAGGTAATAAGTAATCGCTATCGAAATCGCAATCGGACGGGACGTGAGAGAAACGGCTCCGGCAAAATCGTTAGAAATTAATTAATTAACCGCAAATCAGCGCTGCCAAAGTGTGCAAGCCAACCGCTAATCAACGTAGCTAAGGCGTGTGGTGTTTGAGAGCCCGGAAAATTGCTCTTTTCCGTATTGCGAGTGTTTTTTCAATCGCCGCAGCAGCATATGTACACACACACACGCGCACCCCCGCCCAACATACACACACACATACACGGCTAGGTGTATTAAAATTAAAGTTGTGTTTTTCGAGTGTGTGTAAAGTGCAATAGCCGAGTGGAAAGTGGAAGTGAAATAGAAAAAGAAACAGGAGTTCCAGTTCCAGGCAAGGAGTGTTCCGTCTTGACCCATGTCTTCCTAAGGATTTCCAAGGGTTAAGGCTGCCGAAACGGATAACAGAGGATAGGGATACGGATACGGATAAGGAGTGCCCAGGATAAGGAGGAGATCCAGCAGGAATATAGGAGTTGCCAGTCCAATCGCTTCGTCTCCGGTAGGTACACACAAAATATTCGGCTGCTCCTTTTAGCTCCTGTTTGTGCCACTCTCTCGGGGCTCTCTCTTTGCGGTCTCTCTCTCTCTCTCGTCCTGCGCTCTCTCCTTCGCATCACCTGGTGGTGTCCTGTGTCCACCACCCCAGTGGGTGGCGGTAGTCGTACCGCTGCAACCCTTAACCCTCGGCTTCCCATCACCTTTTTTCCGGGTAACCATGGTCGTGTGTTTACCGCTAACTGTGCCACCGAGTGTCAGTAGTGCAGAGTACCTAAAATATTGAGGGTACCTAGTTAAAAATATGGTACTTTTTATTAGGCTTAAATTCCTATTCAATATTATTCAGAAAATAACACTATTTGACTTGCCAATTTCAATTTAGATGTACTTGTACCTAAAAACATTGATGGTACTTTTTACAGTACTTAATACACAATTGTTTTTGAATTATAAATTTTAATTCATGAAATCTAAATAACTCAATGACCTGAAAGTTTCGATTTAATATTGAGATGCTTTTCAAGTTATTTGCGTACCTAGATAAGTTCTTGGTACTTTTTACCTTACTTAGTTTTAACTTGAAATGAGTATATGAGCAATATCAATTTGATATGCCTACATTATATCTACTCAGGTACATGTTTTTGCCAAAAACCTCTCCCAGGTACCCAAAGCCTGTACCTTTACCAACACCGACCATCCTTTGCAGGACGAAAAGTCCACCCTCTCGCTGCCAAAAAGCCACCACCTCGCTGAGAGATTTTGCGCAGCATCTCTGAAAGGAATCGAATCGAAACGAAACGGCCGGCAAATGTCGCAGACTCCCTCGGCAACAAAAGCCCAAAAAATACAAAAAACAAAACCGAAAGCCCAAGTCCCATTCTCCAGACCAAAAGCATCTACTTAATCAACTTGGCAGTAGAGTCGGTTAGGCAGCCCACTGAATGAGTGATCTTATGTAAACAGGCTGCCTGCCCTTTGCCTCCCACGCCCCCAGATAAGACTGCCCCACTTTCAGTTGCTCCTCCTTGGCTGCCCCACTCCCATTTGCATTTCCCCCTGGTCGTAACTCAATGTTATAGACCCCAAATGCTCCCATTTTCGGTGGGCGGGGGGCCACCAATTTGTTTGTGATGGTTTTCGGAGGGTCTAGTGGCCATACTCCCTCGCCTGGAACCGATCTTCAAGCAATATACACAATACACATAGAGGGGAAACAAAACTTTCCGCCTCATAAACCTATGGGCTTGTCCCCCGAAAAGCACGTGCAACTCTTTTTCTTTCTCTCGACGAAAAGACGAAATGTTGTCAAGAAAACAATGAACCAGTGCACAGGAAAAAACATCGATACCATCATAAGAAATATTTATAACATCTGAGTCATTTTATTATTTTTTAGAAGTCATATAAAACAGTCGGGAAGTTTTGTGTTAGTCAGGGGAATTCTTAAGGAAACAAATGTAGGAATAGGAAGTTGCTTTCGAATAATATTTATTTAATATATTACTTTAACTTTATCAGGTTGGTTGAAGCTCATATAATTCGAATAACATTTTTGTTTATTTGATAAGAATACATTTTGATGGTCATCTTAAGTAATTTACATATGCTTTATTATATCATATCATCATATCATATCAATTTTATCATAAACAACTTAATCTTATCTGTTTAATTCAAGATCATATCATATAAATAACTTATTTTGTAAAGTTCCTATGATGTTGATAAAGACTTACTTAAGATGTTTATTCCAATGCGATCAATGTTAGAAATCTAAAAATATACAAAAATTCTAAAATAATGTTAATAACCCAAGAATTGATCAAAATCTCAAATCCCCTACAAATTCGCCGATTTTTATCAGCAGTGTAATGTCAATGTCTCGGCTGTTGGGCTTATGCAAGCGCAAACAATAACAAAACAATCGCCAGGCCAAAGAAAATCCACATCCCAATCCAAACGGTGGTGCATTTCAGTTCATTGGCAGCCAGCCAGCCAAGCGTTTCATGTTTACCAAGGCCCAATCCGAATCCCAGTCAAACCGAACCGCCCCCTTATCACTCGAGCATTTGCACAAACATAATCTTTTTTGGGTTCTTTCTCCGTTGCTCTCTGGGTTCGGTTACGGTTACGGTTTCACTCCCCGCTTTCTCCGCTGAAAAGCAAAAAAATCAGAAAACCAGAAAACAACAAGGAAAGCAAAAACACAAACAATAACTGACAGTGAATCACTTTGCGACCAGTTCTTCACTTCCCAGTTATATTGGGAATTTTCCCGTATCTCGGTCGAAAGCAAAAACCTTTGACTAATCGATGGTAAAATAAACAAACACTCATTATCACATTGCAATTATTATGGCAAAAAATAGAGACAGGAAGTATTAGTAAATAGTTTACCAGAATTGTGACACGAGAAATGAAAGAACTTCTTGGAATAAGTGACTTGAATTTATAGAATTATACTATACTATTATACCAAGTTATAATACAAGGAATATTAGTTTATTTACACAGATGTTTCGATCGTTATAGAGAAGGTATAATCGTTTTTAGCTTGGTATATTTAATAGACACAGGAGGTATTAGTATATATCTTACCACATTTGTGACACAAGTTTTTTATTTCTTAAAATTCTTAAATTAAATTCTTTGAATTATACTATACCATTCTAATAAGATATAATACAAAGAATATTAGTTTACACAGATGTTTCGAAGGTTATACAGAAGTTATAATCGTTTATAGCTTTCCATTTCTTGGTATATTTAATCTTTAAATATTACGGCACTCGAAAACATTTTCTGCTGACTCAGATTCTCGCTTATGATCAAACACAATCGTAGAAAAGTGAAACCAAAAGTGTCTTAGAGCCAAAGTCTCAGCTTGGCCGACACTTATTGATTTTTAATTATCCCAAGATGGCCCTTGGCTATGACATTGACTTTGGTTTTGGCTTTGGTGTTTGGCTTGTGCCGACCTGGCCAACGAACCCGTGAGCCTCTCTAGAGATCTTTAGCCTTCTTTGCCGCCTTATGTCACTCGGTAAATCTCGGCCAAGTGGCCAATAATTTCCCAATACCGCCGTCAATTCCTGTTTGTGACTCACGGCAGTCGAATGTCTCAGTTTCTGTGTCTTTCGTGGCCTGAAATGGCCAGAGATTTTCAGTTTCAGAGGTTCTCTTTGGGTGCAGATCAATAGCCGATGGATACTCATTCGCTTGCCTCTGGCAATTGGATTCAATTGAGTGGAGTCAGGCGGCTGCGGAGGCAGCAACTTTCACTTGCACAGATTTTAATTGCCCCACAACTGGAATGGTTGGCCAGATCCCTCGGTTCCTCAGTTCCCCCTACAAATCATCATGATCATCACACAAACACTCCACTCATTCATCTTCATCGCCGGCTCGCTGACCCCAAAAACAAACATTCATCTCTCGGCTAATTTTTGAGTTAACTTGGAGCTTGAGTTTCCCGTTTTGAGTATTTCGAGTACACGTGCCTTGTATTTTTTCAGCTAATCATTTTCACGCTTCTTGGCTTATAAACAATTAAACCTAATTTGCATATCATATCATTTCTTTCTTTCTATGTTTCTTATTCGTATTCATTTTGCGTTTTTTGCATTTGGTTATGTTTACGTTTGCGCCACGCCTACGCTTCCGCCCACGCTCACGCCCCTGAAAAATCGAACCACGCCCCCCAATAGCAATTATGCATTGGCTAGAGGCGATTTGCAGCAAGCTTAGAGTGCCAGCGAGCTGCAACTGCAACACATAACCAAAAAATCATCAACCTCCTCAACTCGAAACTCAAGTCAAGTCCAAAACAACGCCTCTTGCCTCCAGGAGCAGCCCACCAGGAGTCGTCCCAGCTGGAGGAGCAGGAATCCCCCCGCGGCGGAGGAGCAGCCAGTCTGGAATGTTGGAACACCCCCAGCGGTTCGTGCGCAACATCCCCGACTCCTCAGCCAACTCGCATCCGCCACAGCTGCCGCAGCACCAGAATCTGAATCTCAATCAGAATCTAAATCAGAACCAAAATCAGATCTATCAGTACCGTCCCCAGGTGCCAGTGCCCGTTCCCGGCTCACCTGCCCACCACCAGCGACACTCGTCGCTCCCCCAGCAGCAACAGCAGAATCTGCAGCAGCAACAACAGCAGACGCTGCACCACCACCGCACCCTGTCCACCGCCTCCTCCTGCAGCGCCCAGCACAAAAGTGTGACCTTCGGCCAGCCAGCGCTCGACTGCGGCGGCAACGGCAGCGGAAGCGCCAACGGAAGCGGTAGCGGCAACTCCTCCAGTGGCAGTGCCGCCGGCAACGCTGGAACCCAACCAATGGCGGGCAACATGAAGCACGGTGAGTGGATCGTGAAGAGCATTAAAAGTTCTGGTTGTAAACGGTGCAGCGGCAACCAAAAAATGCTAAAGAATTCGCGTTTTTTTTTTACAATCAGCGAGTAGAGCATTAACTATTTAACTATTTTCTATAGCTGGTTGTAAACGGTGAAGAGGCCGAAAGAGACGAATGGTCCACCGTATACAAGAATATATGCTAAAGAATTCGCGTTCCTATTTGTTTCGTTTGGTTAAGATCTAACTACAATGGCTTCATGGTTCCTAGAGTTGGTTGTAAACGTTGCAGCGGTAGAAATAATTGATCGCTGCACCTTCATAAACCAATCTGTGCTAAAGAATTCGCGTTTTTTCTTTTTTTTTTTGATTCAAAAACTTCCGATTCTAGGTCATTTAGCTTGTCATACTCTGTTCACTTGCCAAAAATCAAACCAAACTAACTTTATCAAAATTCTCAATTCCCAGGCAAATCTCAGGAAGACGTCTGCTACGTGGTAGCCAAGTACGACTATGCGGCGCAGGGTGCCCAGGAGCTGGATCTGCGCAAGAACGAGCGCTATCTGCTGCTGGACGACTCAAAGCACTGGTGGCGCGTCCAGAACAGCCGCAACCAGTCCGGCTACGTGCCCAGCAACTATGTGAAGAAGGAGAAGCCCTCGCTCTTCGACAGGTGCGTCCTGGTTTCCTGGCCCCGACTAAACCTAAGCGTTCTTCTTGCTCTGATTTCAGCAGAATTAAGACCTCTATAATCTGTAACTGTATCTGTAACCGTAGACGTACTTCCTCCTTTTGCTTTGGTTTTAGTAATTTAACTTTGAACTGCTTTCGGCTTCTGTATTTTGTATTTTGTATTTTTCGAAACAAACAAATTCGTTTTGATTTCGTTGTCTGTCGAGCCCTTAGCCCCCCGCCCCTGCCCCTAAAAACTTGTAGCTCCACTAACACCCCCGCCAAACGAACTAGGGCTAGTCTAACCCAAAGAAATCTACTTAAATTTAATGAATGTTCTAAGTGCATCTTTTGTTTGACAACCGATATCTCTGATTTCTATGCAGCATTAAGAAGAAAGTGAAAAAGGGCTCCGGTTCGAAGACGCTGCCCAATTGCTCGCCCTCGCGACAGATCGAGAGTCCAACCATGTCGCGCCGACTGCCCCCCGATCCCGCCGAGGCCATCGGCACGGCTGTGGTCAAGTACAACTACCAGGCCCAGCAGCCCGACGAGCTGTCGCTGACCAAGGGCACGCGGATACTCATCCTGGAGAAGTCGAACGACGGCTGGTGGCGCGGACAGAGCGGCAACTCCGTCGGCTGGTTCCCCAGCAACTACACAACGGAGGATTGTGATAACGACGGCGAGATCCACACCTACGCCATGGCCGAGAATGTGCTCGATATTGTGGTTAGTATGGAATAGCAGGGTTCGGAAAATAACACACTCTGTAAAAAACGTGCTATTAACATGTTAAATGTCAAAGTGTTAAGTTCAAAAAAGTTATTAACATGTGTGTAAAAATTGTAGCTTACATATGTTAGAAACAAAAGTAACCCACACAGTTTATTTGCGTTTTATACACATCGTGTTTTTAACACAACGAGTTTTTGAAATTAAAACGTCAGTTTTCATTTGTGTTAAAAACACAGTGTGTAAAAAACACGTCGTGTTAATAGCACATTGTGAGCTGTGTGTGCTAACAATTATTTTTCATATTTTAACACTTGTTTTTGACACACATGTCAAAAACTTGGGTCTCACTGTAAAATACGATTTTTAATGTTTCTAACATGTGTGTTAAATTCCGAACCCTGTGGAATAATGATTATTTCGTATAGAAAAGCTATTTATATATTTCCTCCTATCAATATAGGTCGCTCTCTATAGCTTCACGTCGAACAACGACCAGGAGCTGTCGTTCGAGAAGGGCGATCGGTTGGAGATCGTGGATCGGCCCGCCTCCGATCCGGACTGGTACAAAGCTCGCAACAACCAGGGCCAAGTCGGTTTAGTTCCACGCAATTATCTCCAAGAGTTGAACGACTACCTGGCCACGCCCTATCGCAATACGAGCGCCAGCAACGCCGGTAACGGAAACGGAGGCGGCAGCAATGGCGGAGCAGGCGGCGGAGGTGGCGGCGGCGGTGGTGACTCCATGGAGCGACGCAATGAGGGCAACAAGCCGGCGGCGCAATCCTCTGGCCAGCCAATTGAACGGCCCAATCTGGCGGGCAAGTCGTGGTACTATGGAGCCATCACCCGGAGCCAGTGCGACACGGTGCTCAATGGCCATGGGCACGATGGCGATTTCCTCATCAGAGACAGTGAGACTAACGTGAGTGGAATTGAACATTTGAACTTCTACAACATAACTCAAGCTTTCCCTTTCGCTAGTGTCATATAAATCTTAACAGAAAAACGAATTGCTTTAAGAATATTTATTATTTAACATATTTATGAGACGCCCACGCAATCGTAATATTATTTAATCTTTTCTACATAAAAGTGGATGACAAATTGCATTTCTATTTCCGTACTGAAAAAATATAGGCAGATAAATCAAGAAAAGCGAAAGTTTATAGGATATGTTGTGGTAGTTTTATACCAAATGAATCAAGACATATTAAGAAACACCTTCCTCTCTTGCAGATGGGCGACTATTCGGTTTCGTTGAAGGCCCCCGGGCGCAACAAGCACTTCCGCGTGCACGTGGAGCAGAACATGTACTGCATCGGGCAGCGGAAGTTCCACTCCCTGGACCAACTGGTCGATCACTACCAAAGAGCGCCCATCTACACGAACAAGCAGGGCGAGAAGCTGTATCTGGTGCGGTCGCTGCCGAAGGCCAATGGCACGTAAGCAGGATAGAGGATACAGAGCGGCGGAATCTCAGCAGCGCATCCAATCCATATTACCCCCGTATTCAACAAGCAACACACATATGCAACACAAAAGATATACCAAGGCTAACTTGTAGGCAGCTCAGCTCAGCGCAGATCGACGTGTAGTTCAATGTAGTTCGGTTTGATTCCGTTCCGTTCGGATATTCAATTATGGACACTCAGTTTTTGGACTTAGATCTGATCAGACCAGCGTGTGTATATAGATCGGTTGGTTCAACGCGACCCGTACTCATATATTAGCCACGGACAAAGGACCTTTTTGTACTTTTATATAATTGAATTAACTAAATTACCGCTTAATTATCGCATTGGCTATATGTTAACGAGAAATGAGAAACGATAAACTAAAGATAACTCATTATCGCATTTGATTCGATTTGAGCAATTCTAGATGTCAACATGCAATTTACATATTTACATACCATACATGTGCACATATTATACTATATTCTAAAGCAAAGTTGTAGCAAACTTATGTACACAGTGAAAAGAGGCCGCTTTTAATCAGAACAGAACACTCGAACATGTAATATGTAATATGAGATATGATATGATGATATAATATGATACGATGTCTATTATCCACGCGTTAACCGTAAGCATACTGTGTACGATCATAACCAATCCGCAAAGATATCGATTTCGTGTATGTACATACATAGGTGAGACATCCTGATCCTGGATCCAGGATCCAGGACACTCAACCCACACAGCCAGAGTGAGGAAAACGCTCCTACAGTCATTTTTGTTATTTATCCATTAAACTAAATTATCGACTACGATATAACCACGCAAAACAAATACAATTGATATCTCCGGGCGGAGTCCTGCCCCCCGCATAATTATAAACATAATCTAATCGTTTGCTGGCGAGGACGAGGAGCAGAAAAGGATAAAACGGGGCGGCGACTTATACGCGTATAAGCCATACTGTACAGTTGATGCAATGCTAACCTAGGCACTCTTTCATCTCTAGATATACGTGTGTACTCTTATTTACGATTACGATAGTAGAACGCAGCGATTCCAGCTTTAACTTTTGTTTTCGATTATTATAAACTATTATTTGTTTTTCTACGTTTACTACTTATTATTACCATTATGATTATTATTTTGTTTTTATTTAGCTCTAGGAAAGTAATTAGCGAAGGAACGAAACGAAATGAAATGAAAAGAAGAGAAGAGAAGCGATAGGAAGGAGTGGCTGCCAGTTAAATGACTTTCGACTTTTCTTTCATACGCGAATTTTTAAATTATAAATCTATATTATACGAGTACGTAACATAAAACTTAAATAATTTATAGTAATTTAAACGATTGCTAAACCAACTAGTACTAAAGACGAAGAGAACAAACTAGAAATTATACCGAAACGGAAATGAATAAAAATACATTCAAATAAAACACAGGTCGCATGACTTTCGTTACTTACCCTTTTGGATATTGAAAATCAGGACCACAAAAGGATTTTTGAATTAAATAGCATACTTTTTTGGAATTCCTTTTAGATGAAATCTTAGATCCCAAAGTCTTATTATTTCTTCCTAATAGTATGCCAATTAATTTAATCCTTTTTTTCAGGAAAAACTACAACAGAAATCAATAGACAACAGTGATAGCGTTCTTATTTGTTTTTATTGAAATTTTCGTAGTTTAAATAACTTTAAGGCTTCGATAATGTTTGACACGTTAAGGCTAAAAATGGAAAAATTCTTGCTTCTTATCTGGACATGGACATGTGAGCAGTGAATTGAGTCATGGATTCGGGGTGCGATGGATGGGTGGGTGGGGGACTAACTAGGGACTGGTGTTAATGGAGGCATTACACGGGGCTTACAATCAGACAGTATATGTACAAATGTCTGCCGTGGGTTTTGGGTTCTAGGTGTGGATGTGGGTGCAACCAAACGACTTGAGCAATTTATCTGCACGGCCGATATCGCACGTACTAATATATAAACTTAGCACACGGAAAGCAGACGATTGGCAATGAAAACAAGAAGCAATTACACAATTCATTAGGTACAAAAGCATATTTGTATATATCTGTAGTATCTGTAATCTGTATCCGTATATATATATAGTAGTACGTTATAATATATATAGTTTTATAATCTTATTAAGGCCACACAAAGAGTTCTTATCCGCAACGAAAGTGCTAAATGGGACAAAGACAAAATGGGACGAGGACAGACAAAACAAATAACAGAGAATCTGGGCCAACTGCATCCTCCACTAGGATTGGGATTAGTAGCTATGTTAGTTCAGTGGATGATGTGTTCGTATGGGCGCGCGCTTAGTACAAGTAGAGAGTTCTAGGGCAAACGGCAAATACAAATATCCGTATCCGTATCCGAATCCGTAAACGTTAGAGTAGAGTTACCATGTAAAAGAATATATCAACGCCCCCTTCTCTCCAGGATTAGCGCGTCAGCGTGGAGCGAGGAGGAGCCCTTCGGGGTGTACATATTTGAGCTATGTACACAGAGACTGCTCTCCGGCGTTTGTATTATGTATATATATATATAGATTAACGCTATTGTTCGTAAAATGGACTAATTTCGGTGCGGTTCCTCTGCCGCGCTTCTACCTCTGCTGCTGCTCTTTGTTCGCTGGTGGCTCAGCGCCTCTGCCAAGTGGCGAGTGGCGAATTCTCCCGGCTTGAGTCTCATAAGAATGGATTGTTGGTGTTCATGGCGCCGCTGGCCTGTGGATTGAAAAATAAAAAGGAAAGAAGGGCGTCAGCATTTAGCAAACATTGATCCGGACTCAACCAGTCCTGGTTGGAAATCCACCGACTACCGTCTACTGTCTGGATTTAATGTGGCAAGGGAACGTGAGAATCAGACAAACGTGCAAATGATTGCTTGCTTGTTTGCTTGATTAATATTTATTAAAGAGAATTACGCAGCTCTGGGATATTGTTTATCACTATGGCTGCAATCACGTTTCACAATTGCTAATTAGGGAAATTGGTAAGTGATATTTATCTTGTTTTTTACGTATCATTGCTTATCATATTTTGTAAAAACTTATTTTGATAGACATTTAAATTTAAAAAAGTGAACGATAAAAATAATAAAAGTGCTTGTCTGATATGGATATGCTTGCCTATTTTCTCACTAAATTCTCACTAATTTTTACGCGAATTCTTAAGCATCATAATAAATATTTTTCACCTTTTATTTTATTTAAGTTTTAAAAAACGATAAAAATATTTCAAGTGCTTGTCTGTTATAAAGAGACTTGTTTATTTAGAAAAAAACTATTTTAGCGCGAATTCTTAAGCATCATACTAAATATTTTCACCTTTTATGATACAGCCCTTACTTATTCATCTTTTAACGGACAACTATAGCCACTGTAGGAAATATATCGAATTAATCCAGTCAGTCGGTCATCATACTCACTGCAAAGGGATTGTTGGCCATCACCGGAGCGGGCTGCATGCTGCCAAAGCCGCAGCCGTTGGGCAGACCCTGTGAGATGGTGAACCCATTGTTGTTGTTGAAGTTGAAGAAGCTCTGCTGCTGCTGATGCTGCTGAAGCTGCTGCTGCTGCTGGAGGAGATGGTGCCCCATCTGCTGCTGGGGACTGCTGCCGTAGGCATTTGGTATGAGCGTCAACTGGCCATAGAGATTCTGATGGAGGTGCTGCTGCTGCTGTTGCTGCTGGAATGGATTCACCATGTGGCTACTGAGCTGCTGCTGCTGCTGTGGCTGCCCCTTGAAGGGATTTGGATTGTTGTTGAGGGCTGAAAAGACAAGAGCCCAATTAGCGAGGGCCACAAAGAGAAGGACTCAGTCTTACCGCCACCAAAGGCATCTGTGGCCTGGCCATTGCCATTAGTGGGCGTGGGCGCCTCCGTGGCAGTTTCGCTGGCCTTCAGTTCCCTCAGCTGCTCGTCCAGATCCTTGAGAGCGGCATATCGATCCTCACTGGGCGCCATGGCAGCACTTCCGCCTTTCGGCGGACTTGTCGCATGGCCATTCTGCAAGGGAGCACCTGGAATTCAAGAGGATCAATTAATAATTGCTCAAAACTATATTTTTTCTTTAGTAAAAACCAAACACAAACGGAACACAGCATCAATAATAAAAAGAGCGAGCCAAAAATGCAACAGAAACCATAACAGAAAACTCAATTCAAACTCAAAGAACTTACTCCACGTAAAGAAATCATGGAAATTGGCATTTAAAATATTCATCTCTTGATCGTCCGCCTGAACTTCTTCCTCTAGGGAACTGTTTGATATGGAGCTGAACAACAAATACGAATAGGAGGGCTTCTCTGGAGGAGATGGTGCCGGAAGATGGTGTTCCTCATTGCTTGAGTAGGTCAGGAAGGGATTCGAGGGTGAGAAAGGCGTAGTGCCATGGAAAAGGGACTGCTGATCCTGATGATGCCCTTCCTCTATTAGCATCTCCTCCTGCCAGAAGTTCCACGCCAGCTCTTCTGGTTCTTCTTTTACAGTTGGCAGTGGTGGCGATGATACCGCAGCGGAAACTTGAGCAGGAAATGGAGGATTCGGAGTCGGTGGCGACTCATCGCAATCGTCAAAGGGATCGTGGAAGCCCCGCCTGCTCCAGTCGCTGATCCAATCGTGAAAAGTTGGTGGAGCTGGATTCAGCCAAACAGTGAGTTATTAGAGAGTGGATACCGTGGATGCGGACTGCTTTTTGGTGTACGGGGATGGGTGCTCGAAGTGGAAGGCGAGCGGGAGGGCGCAGAAAAGCAAGCCAAAGCCATTTTGCATTGGTGATAAATTAAGCAGCGGGTGCAGGAGCAGAAAGGAATGTATTTTTGGACAACTCTCTTATTTACAAACTACTAAGTTTTGATTTTTTCTAGGAAATTATGATACATTTATCGAGATCGATATTTTCGATTTTTTGAATGTCGATATATATCGGAAATATCGGTGTTTTAAATAAACCTACTTGATATATTTATGATTTATGACATATTAGCTCGGTAATCAATGATAAACCAACTAATAATAAACGGAAATCTATAATCTTTTGTACATGAATCTTTCTCAAATAAATCACATTTACATTTAATAATTATTTCTGGTTTACAAAGGAGCTTTTTCAACTAAAGAGCGATATAGCAAAGATAACGAAGGACCAAAAGACTCATTGGATGATGGAAAAGCCAGGTTAGCGGATGATAACTTACCCACTGCATTGAAGATGGGTGCATGATCGAAGTCGGCAAAGTTCTCAGCACCACCCTGGTGACCATTTCCATTGAGGAGCTGCTGCTGCTGTTGCATCTGAAGTTGCTGTTGCTGCTGCTGTAGATGAGCTGCCCGGAGGGGCTGCACCTTGGCGTAGCCATTGCTAGAGCCCACCGAGGAGACGGAGGACACTGCCGGCGATCCTGTCGAGCGCGCTGCTGATGTGGCATCGAAGATGTTGGCCGAACCAAAGTCGGCCACAAAATCGGAGTCCGCACCGAAGCCATTGCTGGCACAACTGCTGGTGTCGGAAAGAGCTCCCGTGGATGTGGAACCTGCGCTGTTGAGGCTGCTCAATCCGCCACCCAAACCAAAGGCATCGTGATTGTTATTTTGGCTGCTACTGTTGTTGTGATGATTATGGTTATGATGATGATGATGTGGCCGGCTGATCGAAGAGGAGGAGTTTCCCGAGGAGCTGTTACTGGATGAATTGTTGGCCATTTTCTGCAATCCATTGGCCGAGGTCCTCTGTGCAGCCGGCGGAGTCAGATGAATGCTGGCATAACCGTTGTGGTGCTGGCCATTCTGAATGTGATTCGTTACCGGAACGGATGACTTCAGATTGACCGCATTGGCCAGCGACTTGAGCGGACTGGCCGGCTCCAGGTAGTACCTCTTGCGCTCGTACTTGTCCATCATCAGCTCACGCTGCTCCTGCTGGTGGGCGGCCCGCTTGGGATCCCACAATCCCAGCCAGGTCTTGGCACACAGCTCGTTGCCGTGGCTGCGCAGGAAGTCGATCTCGTCCTGTGTGAATGTGGCCATCGATATGGATTTCACCCGATGTGGTGGCGTCAAACCGCGTCTGTAAAGGAAGAAAAGAGATAAATTAGTAAGGGAAAATAAGAAATAATCTTATATTCCTGATTTAGTCTTAAAGAATTCGCGTTATTACTTCGTTGATTAATGCATTTACTACAATTTTTATATATATTTTCCATATATTTACTGAATTATACTAATATTTATAAAGAAGTGACACAAGTATTATCCGTAACTAAGCAATAATCTGAAAGTCCTCGTTTAATCCTAAAGAATTCGCCTATTTATTATGTTGAAAAATTAATTTAAATTATTTTCTATTAAGAATCTATCATCTATTTTTTCTGAATCGTATATATATTTATTAAATACAAAATATACGATTTTAATTAAATCAGAGAATTACAATCTAAAATATTGTATCAAATTGTGCTAAAATAGATTGCAACCTAATTTAATCCTCCTTAATTCCACAAAGTAATTCTTTTCTATTTCGGAAATTGCTCAAGATTTGCCCACTTGGTCGCCCAATTGTGGTCGTCAGGTGGCGAAGACGACGACGGTGGTGGTGGTTGCTTGACCCACTTGTACCCAGTAGCCACCACCAGAATGACCCGTCAAATGGGCGTTCAATTTCAGTTAATTGCGCAAATTAATTGCGCTGGCCTTGGGGCCGAAAGCAATTGGAGCACTTTGGTGGAGTGCCCAGAACGGCATGAAAAATGAAACCCATAAACAAACTGAAGAGGCGCTCTTCTTTCAGCCTTTTTGGAGAGTTTTCCAGCAAATTTTACCACCACCATGGCTAATTTCGGTTTTTCACGAATTTCCCGATCGAAACGAGTACACACGGGTACAACAACAATAGCAACAACGTGGCCACAACATGGCAACAGCAACAGCAAAAGGCTGAAAACAGCACCAAAAGTTGCAAAAGTGGCGAGGAAGAGGGCCAAATATGCATTGCAGAGGGGAAGTGGAAACTACTGGACGTTTCACATGAACGCTTCGCTGGCTCCAGTTGGCTGTAGGTTGTTGCTAGCTGGTTAACTGGTTGCCGCATGGAGAAGAGATAGAACAAGAGGTACCGGCCTACAGATCAGGAGATACCCAGCACTCTTGAGTGACTAACGAACATTTGAAAGTCTAAAGAAATTAAATGATGAGTTTCTTAGGTTATTATGAAAACGCGAATTCTTTAGAACAACTATTAGTTGATAGGAGCGCGAATTCTTTAGGATTTAACAATAAATTCTTTTATCAATCCTCTTTTACTGAAGAATTGTCGTTTTTATTTAGGATTTAACAATAAATATATAAAAATAAAGGCGAATTCTTTAGCGCAAGAGTATTTATCCTAAAGAATTCGCGTTTCTCTCTACTTAAAAATTTTTGTTAAGTATTCCATCATTATACCCCCTACTCACATAGGGTATCAAAACCGGCAAGCTGATGTGGCACATGCAGCGAAAAATCTAGAAGCTGCTGATTGCTGGCTAATGACATTATAGCCACATCTGAGTCAAGGGAATGACGTCCTTTGTCATCTTACATCTCCACCATTCCCCAGCTTCTTATGCAATTGTGAATCAATTTGAGGACTGAAAATGGATACCCACGGTTGAGAAAATAGCGAAGGAGGAAAAGCGGAAGTCTTTGAGTGTCTCAGCAGAAAACAATCAACTCTCACTTAAGTGGAACTCTCAGTGGAGTGGATCGAAGAGAATTGAAAAAAGTGTAGTGGGTAGGAGGAAAGGGGATTGGATAAGAGTAGAGACTCCTCCTCCTCCAACATCTGACCCGTGACCAACGGAGCAGAGCTGAGCAGCTGAGGACGACTTCCGCCGGCGGCTAAATGATCTGTGAAGCTGCGGCGCCGTAGCGGAAATCAACAGGAGGTTGTCTGACCTTACATGGCTTGTAAACCATCTTAAATCAGAAAGGCCATCGATACACAGGAAAAAAAGAGCCTAAACTACCAAGAAAATTTGTTAATATCTGGTTTCAAGTGGCTAGTAAAATCTGTAACTGATCATTATAAACACTTCTAAGCATTATCTTATCAAAACACCACTTGAAATTAGCATTAGTCACTATCCAAAGTTTGGCTTTTAATCAGTTAAACCATAATATGTAATACAAACTATAGAAAACGTAGAAAAAGTACTTGAAATGACGTCGCTATACTTGAAATCACTTTTTAACCTCCTTAAAATCTTTAAATATTTAACCCACACAAAATGAACTCAATGCTTGCATATTCTGAGATTATCAAAAGCCATTTTAATCCTTTCAAAAACCAAAAACTAAGAAGTGAAGGCTACAGAGAAAACCCAGAAGCTGTGAAACACTAAACCAGTGAACAAAAATAGTTTTTAAATACAGATTTTGGCTGCATAATTTATTCCCCTTTTAATCCTATTAAAATATCAACTTGGCATTTGCCGGATTAAGGCAAACAGCAGTGCAGTAAGTAGTACGTGATGTTTTTTTGTGTGTGGCAAACACCACTCAAGTGGTGCCCAGTTTTCCGAGTGGCCACATCCACAAGAGCACGCACAGGCAGTTCGTTAGAGGATCGGAGGAGGAGGAGGTGGTTGTGGTTGTGGTTGCAGTGGCAGTGGCAGCTGCTGCAAGTGGCAAAAACAAAGACCAAGGCAGAATCATGCGGCATGTGGCAGTGGCTATTTTTGAAATCCAGCCACGGCGGAGAAAGTGAAAGTTGCCTCCACACACACATAGACACAGAAACAGTGGCGGCATTAGAGGCACTCACACTGCCACGCCCACCGTTTATGGCGTGCATTTGAAGAGGGCAACAAAAAATGGGGAGGGTTGGGGGTAATTGACAATCACAGCCGTAATGACTGCAAATTTCCATGCAGCTGAGGCTTTTGTTAATGCGAAAAAAACCCAATAAGCGAGAGAAGTGGGAAGCAGAAGGTGCTATCGCCATCCCGCCCTCTTCAATATGCGGGGTTCTGGGAAATAAATCACTTAGAATGTGCCAGCTGGAAAAATATATTAGTGCCAATCGACATGTTTTCGTTCAGCTGCCAAACAGATTTGACTACTGATGAGGTAGAACCGAGCTCCCTGGAGAAATAAATGTCTAAATTCATTAGGTTACTACACAGGAAGTTCTAAACCTAAAAGTAAAATCATTCATAGGACGTATCTTCAAATTATTCTCGAATTTCGGTTTTTGTTTTCAGATTTTTAAGTCTAACTGTGTTTGCTACACTTTCAACCCCTCAAAAAAATACTCCTCTTTTATATTATTAATCTTGAAATTCGAGTTCTGCTTTTGGCGACAGCAAACTGTTTAAACAGGATGCACGAAATGGTTTATCTAGGTCTCAGTTGTCAATTTCTCAGTGTAAACTCAATGCCCCTTTGCGTTGTGTTCAATATTAGCATTGCAATGCTAATTGTTATACGAACCGAACAGAACCCAACGTTCGAGTACCCCCCATCGGTACACACACTCATCGTCGTCACCAGAGGAATTCTCCTCTGCTCCAGCCACATCTGCATGCTGAAAGAACGAGAATGGCAGAGTGCCATGCTAATTGGGAGTCAACAAAGCAGCGCTGAATCTCACAACTGGAATCGGAAAACTGTGTCACACCTCACAGGTCATGGCAGTTCAAAGGGCAAAGGGCAGGGGGGAATGGGGATAACTGAGAAGGTTTCATCAGGTTTTATTCACCTTTGAGATAGAGATTTAGGGCTCTATCACTTTCCAAACAAAAACTTAAATCTTATAAACTTTGATTATATTTAAACAACTGAATATATTGCTTATAAATATTACAAATGTTTTTTCTTTTATAAATTGATATATCACTCGGTAGCTAGTAAATGCGAGTCCCCTGCCAAAAATATATCATACTTCTAAAGTTACCCAAGTAAAATTAATAAAATCGTTCTTTAAAGACAGAGGTCAGGTTTTTAGTTGCTTGAAATGACAACCAATAAGTTAACTTGCATGCTTAAACATTTGTGTTGTCTTTACAAAAAGCCAGAAAAGCAAATAACTTACTTGCTTCGACTGTAATGGGAACTTAAAAGGCGGCAATTTCAAGGATGCATTTAAGCTAATAAGCTGTGAATTGCTAGAGACTTTATGAACTATTTTGAGGAAGGTTAGCACAGGTTTACTTGTGCTGAGCTCAGCAGTCTGACCCCCTTCTTAACGACACCCTACACATCTCCGCCGGATGAGATGTGGATGTGGATGGGTCCCGCGATCTGAGATCTCGGATCGCAAATCTCGCATCTCGGCTGTTTCGGTTTCGGTTTCGCTTCGTGCTTGGCACAAGTGGATACAACGAAAATTAAAACAAATACACAGAGACAACGCAGAGACAGAGACTGTCTGTATGGCAGATAAACAAAAAGCTTAGCTTACAATCACTCACACTGTGGCGTTTTTCATTTTTCATTTTCGCTACTAAAGTGCAAAACTTGTTTTTTGCGCATTTTGCGCACTCAGCGTGAAAAAAATGAACTCAGCTGAGCTCCAAGCTTCCACTCTCAAATAAAAACAAAAGTAAAACTCGTTGCGGCAGAAAAATACCCAATACCATTGTGCATAGAAGCAGATACAATGAGTACAGAGACGAAAATACAAAGCAAATCCGATTCAAAATCGGAATTGGAAGTGGAATCGCAATCGGACCTACCACATAACGTTTAGCATTAGTTTAGAGCTCTCGGGAACCATTGTGCAAAAAAAAATAAGCAAAATCGGCAAAAATATACGGCAAAGTAAACAACTGCAAAGCACGGCAGGCCAACCCATAATTATGACAATAAATAACAACTTAAATATGGACAGCAACTCACATATGAACTTTCGGATTTTGGCTGAACTTGTTTAGAAGTGGGGGATACCCTCGTCCACCGATAAGACTACGCCATTTCTATGTGATTATCAATAACGTGAATATTAAACTAACAAACAATCACTGATTATTTTTATTGACGTCTCGTCTGACACATTCTACGACAACTAGAATAATTGTTTTTTGGTTTAAG